AATCACCTCAAAAAGTAAAACCTTCAAAAAAATGGATGTAACACAAATAATAAAATAATCCTACTATTGATTGTAGTAACAACCGAAGATTCGAAAAAGACTTTGACTGCCCAAAACCGAATCGACAACTTTCACATAAAAATAGAAATCACCTTTTATAGACATCATTTTCTACTGACTCTGTGTTTCCACCACCAAAATGAGCGGCAGCGACAATTTTCGCATTGATATTTCCTCCTCTTTCATCATCATCATCATCATCGCTCACCATAGTGCGATCATATTTTTCTATTTCCGTTAGCGATCGTCCTTCGTGAGTTAACGTTTCTTCTGAAAAGGATGGAAGTGAACTTATAATAAAAGTAAATAGCTTCACTATTATGGCTACTCATCCTAACCAAATCAGTCATTCCATCATATAGAAAAATATAAGGAAATTATAGAGGTTAGTCTTCTTTTCCGCTTCATTCACTCTGGTGTTGGATCGTATTCTCTGGTTGCATTTGCCCCACGCTGATTTGTTGTGACAATTTCTTCCGCTTCATCCTCGTGGAATTCATAGCGGTTATCGAATTAGATGCTTTCAAGCGTCTTCATGACCATTAACGGTTGGATATATGTTTTGACGTGATCAGATATAAATCTCCTTTACGTAGCATTTATGGAAGTTCGTTACAACCCCATCCCAAGTCATCATATACGAAACTATTTTGGTCTTGCATTTCATCTTCGACCCGAGTTAATTAACCAATGGATCATATTTTGGCTTTGTCTTGATCTCGACTGTTGTCAACTTTGTCCTGTCTGGTTATACCAGCCTTTATCAGGATTATCTCATGTCACTTTTTAGAGTATACCAAAATGTCCGATCGATCCGTTTATATTCTAATCGCAGTTCTTACTCACGTACTGACTCTGTTTTCGAGTCAGTACGTGAGTAAGAACTGACTCGAAAACAGAGTCAGTACGTGAGTGATTCCCTGAACAGGCTGCTTCAAATGCAGGGAATGCATTTAAACACACACATTTTGCCTAAATAGATACATTACATGACCTCATTGTGTCTTCTGGTATAATTACAATACAGCATCTTTTCACACTGTGTTTCTAGATGGTCCATCGTCTTCACACGTCTTCTACAATTCAATTTTCTCAGCTTCAAACAAATACTTTTCTCAACTTTAAACATATTTCTATCCTGAAGGTGACAGTATCGTGATTTATCTTGTAGGTCAATATATATAATGTGAACTTTCTCAATTTCTATTTCACCTGTATACTAGTAACCATATTCTGTAAAAATAATGAGCACTATAAATGGCATTTATATTTAATTTATATAGCTCAAAATTTCACCATATTTAACATCGAACTCCATATTATTCAGTTTAGACTCTTTCATACGTTCCGCAGTGAATCGCTTAGAAATACGTTCTTCCTCATTAATCGCTGTATTTCTTTCACCTATGCGTTGATCAACAATCTGAAATCAATCCTTATGTTTATGTCTAATAACAAATAAAATTGCATAATAGAAACTTATCTAAAGTTTGGATGAAATTCAATGAATTAATTGGGATACTTTATTCCGCTTCCCACGTTCCTTCCATTCCACAGCCAATGTCCTTATTCTATTCTCGAAAGATTTTTTTTTGGTTAGTCCTGGCTTACCACATGGAGTTGAAGCTGTTCTCGTCCCTAGTATCTGCAAAGCCCAGTCTAAATAATTAACAGAATCGCATAATGAAAGGTAAGTCTAGAAACATTGTATACTATTCTCAACTTTTCAGACTTACTTTATGTTTTAAACGATTGTACTTCAATTCAAATGGATTGATTACTTCTAGCCCAGACCTCTTCTTTATGTTTCCATTTTTTCGTTTCCTCATTATGTTCTACAAACGAAGCTCCCACACATAAAATCAGCATGCGTCAAATAATATTTGAATTATTAACTCTTCATACCATAATTTATAAACAAATACCAGAATACATGCATAAATATACTACTGCAGCAAATATATCTGCTGACACGTCATAACATATGACAGATCAAATCTACGACAAATTTTACAGCTGTTTATTTATCTTACAACAGATTTACAACCAGGACAAATCTGCAGTGACTCATGCAATAAAACATCGCAATCTATACAAAATGTTGATTTGCATTTCCTACAGGCAAAACTTTTTTCATCCAAAGGTCTGATGCAAGCGAAACAAACTCTGAAATATGATGATTACTACAGGATAAGCTAGTATTCTGCAAAAAAAATTACCAATTTTCATTACAAAAAATTTTATGATTCACATGCAATTTTCAGAACTATTCCTAAGGTAAATAATTTTCAAAAGAGGAGTTTTCACGGTGCATCTAGCATTTAACTTCTACACATGGAAAACAATCTTGAGAAATTACCCATTCGTGGTATCAACTTCCTCAAAAGTTGGTAGAGGTAATAAATTGTGCAACGAACGCGCAAGCTGAGGAGCAGAAATTAAAACTAGTTTACAAATTCGACATTCTACAGGTAAACTGCAATAACGTGCTCCACACTGCGGACAGAAAAATCCTCGCCCATCTGCTTGTCTAATTTCTGATTGATGGCTGAAATAATTAAATGCTCAAGTTTTGCAATACTTACGTTCCATGGCACGTTCTGTTCAGAATCTGAAAAACTGCCATAAACAAAACGACGGAAAATCTATGCTTTCATGAACGGGAAATCCCATGCGAACAACGCTGCTTTCTACATTGCGGTTAAATGGTGGAGGAATCGTATGCTCGTTTAATACTATCTCAAAGTGAATATTATCCAATACTACATCGTGCTGTCCTTAAAAAAATGAAGTATATTTCTGCAGAGAAATCTTTATGAACTGAATATCCATAGTAATCACAAGATTTCAGCTAAAAGTTTTTTCAAAAAGCCCGATCTGATTTAAAATTTAAAAAAACATAAAAAGAATGGAAATTAAAGAAATATTTAGAGGGATTTCGAAATACCTGAAGTAGTTGAACTGAGTTTTTTGAAAACAAAGACTTCAGCACCTAATGAGATCACTGAGCAGCGTATGCGATACCTCTTTAGTAACTGAAAAAAAGGATTTTAATGCAATGAAATATAGAGCTAGACAGAGATCGCAGATCTGTTGGCAAAATAATACAAACTTCAAACGTTCCATATATACTTGCAGGATCACAAGTTGAAAGACTTGCTACGACTAATAATACTTCTCGGCTAGCGTGGCCTGGATAGCTGCTGAAAGATAAAATTTTTTCTATCATTTCAATAGAATTTTTGATGATTGTTTTAATATTCAGTCCAGTTTCACTGCTATTACATTTCAAACATGAAAATTTTGTACATTAAGAAACAATTATTCATATAACAAACTGAAGGTTCTTAATGGCGGTCATCAAGCTATTATGAAGCGAAAATTCGCCATGACAAAAATTTTCCGTCAGCGTAGATATAGATTCTTTCACCAAACGAACATTCCCTAAAACTAATGATTTGAATATGTTTGCGGTGATAAACAAGATATAACTTTAAGGGATTCTCTAATTTTCATTCTTTTACATACGTTGAAACGAAATTTGCATATGATTAAAAATTATACCCGTAAGAGGAATAAGAACTTCAGCTCGTTTATCCTTGCATACAATTATGCCCACTTGAGATATAGGATTTTGTTCGGAATATTTGTCCAAAAACTGACTCACAGCCTAGATTTAAACTTAAGGAATAACTGTTCCACAGAACTTAAACTCAACCTCTAGCTTTAAATCGAAAATTTATGATATCTGCTACTTATTCAATTAGCTTCTCAGAATTTAAAGATGACCAAAAAAGGAGTTGTAAATGCAAAAAGCGCTCTACTGCTAATCAATACAATTAACTACAAAAAATAATTCATATCACCTCGCTTCAAATGAACCAAGTGTTCGAAATTTCTTCTGTCATGACAAATATTACTCTATTTTGCTTACTTTTAATGAAACTTACTCCTTATGATGTATCATGATAGTAATGACAGCTGGAAATGTTATATGCTTCGAAATCACACTTACTTTACATCATCTCACACCATTTTATTTCACTAGTTATTCTTTATTCAGCTCAAAATTAAAACACAAATACCTTGACTGTAGCAATCAGTCGTGAAGGCTGTAATGACCTTTCAGTCATCGCATTAGAACAATCAATGATTACATACATGTAACGCATCTGAAAAACGAAAAAACATTTCTTTTACGATGAACTGCTGATACATTTTATATCACACAAGTCATAATGAAACATCACGCAAATGAAAAAAAAATCTAACAAAATAACTAACAATCCCCAGACGAACTTTAGCCGGTCGATCACCAAGACGCTTTTTTCGTTTTGCATCAAGTACCAATTTTGCGATTGACCGTTCGATTGAACCACTTTCATCTTCACGTAGCACATCTTTAATATTCAGTCCTGAAATGTGCACTTGAAACACGATAAAACATAATTGCAGATATCACCATCTCTAGATGGCCCAATGACCAATACTGTAATTTATCAGAAACTTCAATGCAGTGGATTTGTTAGTCTTCTCTTACAAATGAATGATCTTACCTTCCGCATAGTCGACTTCCCACATATATCCTTTTGGTTCATCGTCATCATTCATTGCTAGAATTTCCCAAAAAGAACTTTTTAAATTAAGCTTAGTACCATTTCCATAGTAAATCCATTTTTTCCTTTCTCACCAATCACTTACAACAACTAGAGACTTCCAAACTTCAAACCTACCCCAACAAATCTTGAATCTGCGTACCACAAAAGGAAAACAAGACACATGAAACTCTTGAATTTTAGTTCCATATTTTACGGATTGACTATGCAATGCGTTAGATCTTGACATTACTGTGACAATGTTGCAACATACCACAGACTTCCACGTGAGAATGCGTGTACGTTCCAGCATATTCGCGTATATTTAGATGTACGCTATTATTATTGACAGCTTTATTTCTCAAAAACAATGTAACATACATTTAATAAAAGCAGATTTCACAGAACAAAGCTTTATTTATACATTACATACAATGGCGACCGATCTTGCTAACAGCAATTGCTTGATTGTTGAGCAAAATGTTGAACTTTATGATTCTGTGAATTATAAATAATATTTCATGCAAGCCTATACGTTTTATACATTTATGCAGATGTCACGTGAAAAAATGAAGTAAACTGAACTACATGATCAATATTTTCTTTAGCAAAGCAATTATTGCCAACAGATTTAATAACTTTGTATTATGAATTACTCACTGAGTACGACAATCTGGATAGCCTTTAACTGGTGTCGGTTTTGAAGGATCGATTTTTACCATGTAACGATTTGAGAAACTTGTTTCCGTACTTTCATTACTATTTTGTCCTGATATTGGAGCTTCAAATCGCGCTTTTCTAACACCTAAATGAAAATAATGATTTTCAGATTATTTTGATAATAAGACTAAGCTATTTTTTTTTGCATACTATTTTTTTTATCACTTGTTAAACGACGTAATTCCACGACCAGTTCGCCAATTTTTCGATCTTTCGAAATAATGCTTGATCTTAACTCACATATTCTGCAAAAACATTTATTGGAAAAATGCACAATCAAAGGAAAATGGATTTTGAAACATATTAACGCAATCTCAAATTTTACAACTTCTTAAATAAACATGAATTTTAAATAAACATGAGTGTTAACATAAGGAAATTATATCAATATCGAAATGACTTACTCTTTCTCTTTCTTCTGGAGTTCATTTTCCAGCCGATAGAGATTCTTACCGTACTGTTTCTTTTTGTTCTCGAAGGTTGCCAACATTGAAGTTTTCATTTCCGTAACCTTGTTTTTGAGATTTTCGATCAGTGATTCCTGTTAAGATTGCGAAAAAACATTGAAATCGCGATTTAACCAGTACTTAATTAATTGTCTGATGAGCTGTATCATGTCAGACTGATAAAGTTGTGAAACATAATGTTCACAAGTAATCAGTAAATATAAAATTGTTTAAATTTTGACCACGAAATTCTATCTAGCCGACACAAGCAATCTTAAATTATGTGTGCTGTCTCTTAATACTTTGTGCTTCAAACTCCGTTACTTTAGATCAATTTTTTAAACTTATTCTTTATAAACTAAACACCACATTTTCGCTTCGATTCTTTTGAAGTTCGTATATTTGCTCTTTAAGTTCTGTTTCAACACGATCTGCATCATCGCAATGTTTTTCTAGCCAAACTATGTCTCTTTTCCTGCTACGTAATTCTTCTTTCAAATTCTAGAATACCAAACTTTTTTTTCGATTTAATTTATTAAACGATGAAAAATAAAAATAGTCAAATGTATTGAAAATGTTTTAACAATCAATTTCATACTTCATTAGCTGTTTTTAAGTGCGCATTTTCGTTCGTCAAAGAAGTCACCTTCTTCGTACTAAAAAATTATAAATTAGTCTCAGATAAATACATAATTAAATGGAACATCACATATAAACACATCTTAAACTGGGAAATCTTACAGTTCATTTATAGTCTCAGACTGACTATTTTCATGGTCTTCGTTATTAGAATCTAGAGATTTTCGATGTCCTTCTATGTTTTCGACTGACAGTTTTTCACTGGTGACATTGTGAGCTTCTGGTGACGGGATCTCATCTTCCGTGACCACTGCTTTGATCATTGTAGAACTCGCTCTGCTTAACTCATTACTACCTCGATTTGAAACTTGAAAATCTGCCTCTATTTCATCATTATCATTTAACTGAAAGTAATCTTTATGCAGATCATCGTTACTGCTAAAAATATCATTACCTCTAAAATATGTCATAACTGGTGCAAAATAACCGAAATAAAAATAATCCACAAAAGTATTTAAACTCACATTCAAGGTTGTAAAAGCAACAACTGATGCATTGAAATCGTTCTCAACTTCTGGCAGTTCGGACAGTTCTTCACCAATAGGACTAATTTTTTTTCTTTCGACTCCTTTCTAGAACTCTGTTTACTTTATTTTTATTACCACAGAAAAATAAAATATTAATGGATTTACTTTTCCCAAAAAGATTTTTGATTCCAAAGTTTCGCTTGTCAAAAGATCTGTATTTGATTGCATCCAGTTACCACCCCACGTTTGTCTACGAGCGCGTTTATTCATACACTCCTGCAAACAAATATTTGAATAAATTTTTTCATAAATACTTTTGAAAAGTTGTAATTCCACATTAAATACATCTCATAAATGAACTAACTTGCGTAGTTTGCGTAAGCATTTGACTCGAAAGAATACATTTTTTCAAGAGATCAACTTCTTTGCTTAATTCGATATTTTTATTTATTAGCTCGAGTTCTACTGATCCATTCTTTCGGTTTTCCTGAATACCGTCTTCCCTTTTTAAAAAGAAGGCAAAAATCGACAATGTGCAGTTAAATATAAGGTGTGTGATGAAGCAAGTATTCACACATATATTATTTTTTTAAAATTCGAACCTCTAATTCAGCCTTCAGGCGCTCAATAGTCTGAATATATCGAGTTAGCATTCCTTCAGCAGTCAAATTTTTCTTTGGTTTATTTTTTATTGTTTTCGCGCGAACAGCAAACTGTAAATCAAGCTTTCTTCTAAAAGTAATTCAAAAGAGCCTTAAAAACGCATTCATTAAAAAAATTTTGAACTCACCCTTAGCGTTTGTAATGTTTGTCCAATTTCAGTAGGAGAAATAGTGCATATTATCAAGGTTCGAGCATTACCACCCAAAGAACTTTTTAGCAGCCGTGTCAGCTTTGAGTCGCGAAAATTCACATGGCATTGTCTAGAACAACAATAAAGAGAAATCACAAATGAAGCACGTGATGCAATGTTATATGTTTCTTTTTATGCCTTATGATGAAAACTGTACAAGAATGAAATGAAAAATAGTGGTAATGGAATTTATTCCTTTTTTCTATCAATAAACCAAAAAACATGTCCAGATTACCCTTTTTCACTCAATTGGTTGATAACTTTCTGTAATGCCAAAAGACTGGTGTTTATTTTGCCACTTTCTTTCAAACGATCACCATCGCCACCAAAGTTTTTAGCACTTTCGCTACCAGCCAAATCCACTACATTCTGAAACTTGTCGTCAATAAAAGTTATCATTAAAATATATATCTTCCAAATTTAGGACTTTTGACAGCATAGTCTGAATAAATTTCAATGTACAAATATAACCATACCAAAAAAGAAATATATGAGGATGTTTCCGCACTAACATAATCATCGTAACACTCAATAACAAAGCGAAGAATCACATGTGATCTTGATGAACGTTCATTGAATGCTGTTTCTCCAACCACACGATTTGCTATAATAATCACAACTTTTTCAAACCGATTTAGTGACATATGAATTGATCTATTATAAGACTGCTGTGAAGTGATAATAACCATTACGTGCTCATTATTAAGTTGATTTGCACAACGATCGTAAAAAAGTGACATGCTTCTTATTTTTTCAAAACAAACATATTCAAAGAATACTTCATTATGAAGCATTTGAAGATCAAATTTAAATAAAAGTACCAAATGCTCGTTGAATTAGCATTTCAACTCCTTCTCTGTCAACAATAACTTCTTCTCGTAAACCATCAATTACAACCTTTTCTTTGAACTCTTTTATCGGCAGATCAACGGCAGTATCAGACAACAAATCACGTACTTTTTCATTATAAATTTCGATGCATGACAACCGCAACATATATCTTTTGCCACTGCCCTGAATCCCAGATTTTTAATCGCGTACTTCTGGACTACATAAATGTAAAATAGTAAAACAGTGTTGAAAATATTTTTACTTAAATGGAGCAGGTTGATAATCTTACGAAGCAGGTTTGTTGGGACCATTTCAAAATAAAATTTTTCATTTATCTTGACTACTTACTATTCCGCTCAAAAATTACCTGTAAAATTTTTGCAAAAATTGTGTTCAAAGTCATCTGAACTATTCCTTCTGAATCATCACTGCCAAAAATTGTGTATGTTTTACCCGAAGAAGTTTGTCCATAAGCAAATATGGTTCCGTTATACCCAGCCATTGCAGATTCTACGACATCTTTTGCAGATTTATCAAAAACATTTTTTGTTGCATCTACATCACAGTATACCTGGTCTGCAAAATATAGTAATCAAAAAATTTTTCTCAATTTTTAAATCTACATGAACTTGAAAATTCCTGAACTCACTACTTAAATAAATTCGATACTCCAGATTCAAAAAAGAGAAAAGAAATTATCAAATATAATTTGCCATATATGTTTTTAAAGCTTCATAAAGCTTACCGAATGTATAACTTTTTTCATCTCCACCAACAATAGTACAATCATCTATTACTTTCCAACACACTTTAGTAGGAGATTCTCTATAAATTGATTGGATATAAATGACTGTGAATGAGTGAAAAGTTAAAATTAAAAATTAATTATTTATCGATGATAATGATAAATTTATGTCAATGAAAGAAATATCTATCAATACGAAATATAATAAACAGATTTTGCGAATCTCGTCATGTTAGATTACTCAGCTTCCTTTTTGATATTTCATCTAATTTCCCATTCTGAAGTCTATTTCTAGCAAAATTCTTTATAAGAAAACCTGGCTAAGATTGGACGTATCCTGACGACCACCTTAATATTATCTTCTAGAACATCGTCTTCCATAACTAACGACAAGAATATGTTCTGTTCAACAAATTAAACAGAAAAGAACGACCACTAATGATTAAACTGATATAAGAATGCAATTTATACTCTCGGAGATTACTACAAAACCGACCTATTCCACCATGCAAATTTAGCCGATGCTTTGCTTTATCAGAACCTGATATTATGAATATATTTCATTTTCATTCCCATAAAAACACCTTAAAAAATACTACATGCATGCATATGCACTTGCTGAACAAAATTTATTCATAAAATTATGACAACAGTAAACAGAATCACGTACATTAGCTCAACGTGTATAACAACATGTAACTACAGAAAACAAATTTTTATATGCAACAAATTTGAATTGCATAAACTTCCGCTAAAATCGACTATTACAGCACAATATTCCGCCAATTAATCATGCGATATTATTATTGAAAATGGATAATGCAAGCAAATTAATATTTGTATTCAGTCTCACTCTAAAGCACTAGAAGATTTTTCTGCAGTGAACTTATCTTCTGCTCAAAAGGTCAGGTGTGGAGAGGTCAGAGCTGTTGTGCATACTTCATAGTTAACTGAAAAAATGAAAGGTGCATACAGACTTGAGGTGTACTGCTCGATACTTCGGTGAAGAAGAAAAGCAAAGCAGAAAATGAAGGGACAGTGTTGAGGTCAGTTAACATGCAATACTCTTCAGATGTTTTTTATTTCTTCTGTTCGCTAAATTCGTTATCGCAACAATATTCTGAGGATGCAAAACCCCTTCGGAATTCTTTCAGATCGATGCATCATGTTGGTACGAAGGTTTATGCAGAACTTTATGGACGATCTACTTCCTAAACAGTTCGAACATGAATAGTTCAATTCTACGATAGTTTGGGATTTGCGTAAGAAAAAGTTTCATTTATAGTTGAAAGGCTCCTACAGAGTTGAAAGTTTGACTGTAATATCATCAACCATTATCAGCATATTTTATCTTCATACTAGAAGTAATTCAGAAAGTTTTATCAGTTTTTAATGAATACAATCTAAGAACGGTTAGATTATTTACTAATATTAGTACTGCAGTAATCGCTAATCGCAGCAGTAATTTCAAGCTGATTCTTCTTTGAGCACTGCCATTAATTATACTTAAAACTAAATTTTGTGTAGATCATTGTGTTGAAAAATTCAAAATTATTTCCTATAATTTCTTGAAGATAAGCTGTTTATTCTTAAAATTCAATTAGATCATATAAATCATCTGTTTGTTAAAAACATTTGATATTAATCACTTGATTATTTTTGATGCAGCAGTAAAAGTTGACACGTTTCTAGTACGATGATCTGATCTTGGAAACTGATTTGATATCTGTGAAGCACTGCCAGATTTCAAAAGACAATGTCGATTGAATATAATTACCACAAAGCTACAAAAATCTTTTGCTAGCAAGAATTAGAGAAACAAGAAAGAATAAAATTGTCATTATAGGAGTAAAAATAATTGACATCTAAAATGTGGCAGTGATTTATAGATGAAAAAAATCTGCCTAAGAGAGCAGAAATTCTAGTCTAGGAAAGTGAGCCTATGATATGCATAGATACATTCTTTACCCGTCCAAGACATGCACTGTCATCCAAGCAACCGTGGTGACTGCAAATAAAGCCCATTTGTGTTCCAAATAAATTTGGCCCAAATTAAATACAAGCGATGATGTAACAATAATAAGTCCACCGATAAATGTCTGAAAATTAATCCGAATAATTGTAAGTATTACTCGCTTTAATATGCGGCATTTCTCCTTCGTTCAGTTTCTTTATAACTTTTACCTGCTTGAAAAACAATAGATCATGTGCGAAAGAGACATTCTGTGTAGATGCAGGATGTACCGACTGCAAAATATGATTTACTAAATAACAGGGAAAAAAAATTGAATTCGAATTGAAAATAAATCTGCTCGAATTTATTAATTAATAGCGTCGTAGAAATCACTACACTGTTTGCAGTGATTTCAAACTCTAGCCCAATTCAGTTTGATCAAAATAG